CTTTTCTTCCATCTCTCTTGCACTCTCTCTTTTTCCCTCCTTATACTCTGACAGAGCTGGAGGCTGTGTGTTAGAACTTAAGAGAGTGGTTAACCTCGTTCACCCTGGTTAACCTCGTTCACCCTGGTTAACCTTCTTCACCCTGGTTAACCTCCTTCACCCTGGTTAACCTCGTTCACCCTGGTTAACCTCCTTCACCCTGGTTAACCTCGTTCACCCTGGTTAACCTCGTTCACCCTGGTTAACCTCGTTCACCCTGGTTAACCTCGTTCACCCTGGTTAACCTCGTTCACCCTGGTTAACCTCGTTCACCCTGGTTAACCTCGTTCACCCTGGTTAACCTCGTTCACCCTGGTTAACCTTCTTCACCCTGGTTAACCTCGTTCACCCTGGTTAACCTCGTCCCCCCGGGTTAAAACCTCGTTCCCCCCGGGTTTAACCTCTTAAACCCGGGTTTTAAACCTGTTCACCCCTGGTTAACCTCGTTCACCCTGGTTAACCCGTTCCCCCTTTGGTTTAACCCTCTTTTACCCGGGTTTAAACCCTTTCTTTAAAACCTGGTTCCCCCGGGCCCCCGGGGAAAACAAAAACCAAAACCCCCGGGGCCCCCCGAACCCACAGGTTTCCTCTTTTTCCCCCCTGGTTAACCCGTTCACCCTGGTTAACCCCGTTAAACCCTGGTTAACCTCCTCCCCCCCGGGTTTAACCTCCTTCCCCGGGTTTAACCTCCTTCCCCCCGGGTTTAAACCCTTTCCCCCAACCCTGGTTCCCTGTCATCCTCGTACACAATAGTTAACAACCCGGGTTTCCTCCCCCCCCGCAAAACCCTCCTAAATTCTAGGTATTCAAATTACTGAAAATAATGTTTGTATGACAGTAAAAAACTCAATCCCCCCTTAAACCCTTTTTGGGTCAACACATTTTTGGGAACTGCTGTCTGCCTTTTTGTTTACATTAGTTACGGGACTTTTTGGGAAACCTCCGATGTGTTTATATATATTTTAATTTTTAAAAATATATATATATATATATAAATATTTTATTTATTTTTTAATATATATATATATAATATTTTATATAAAATATAAATTTTTTTTTTCAAACAAGTCCCGTTTTTCCCACCGGGGCCAGGGTGACCCAAAAAAAAAAGAAAATTTCCCCAAAAAGAAAAAAACTTTCATCATAAATTCAACACTTTAACCACACTCCAAAATTATCACTGTTTTTGCAGAGGGCTCAGAATACAACATTTTAGAAGAATAAACATTTAAAAAATACAAAAACATATCCCCCCCCAACCCTGCCAAACCCCAAACCCCTTTTTTTAAAGTGCGGGCATTGTATTTTCCCTTTTTCCAGGATAAAGTCCGATATAGGGAAAAAAAACCCTTTTTTCCCCAAAAACCCCTTCACAAAAATTTATTACCCCGGGCTCACCCCCCAAACAGATCGTCAGGTCCCAAAGTATAAATTCGTCTTCCATTCACTTTATTTTAACCCCCGCTCATGGCACCCCGGGGCTGGAAGTCCCAAAACCCCCTTTGTTCCCCAAAAATTAAAAATTTAAACCCCCCTTTTTCCCAAACCTTTCGAAAAAAACCCGGGACCCCAACCCCCCCCCCTTTCCCCGCCCCCCCAAATTTTAGTTTTATATGTTTTCCCCATGTAAATTCTCTTGCCATTCTCTCTAAATGCCCAAAAAACCACCTAAAACAACCCCTCTTTTTCCCTCTGACTACTGTTTTTTTAAAAAATCCACACTTTCTTTTTAATTTTTTCACACTCCAAATTTTCTGCAAAAATTTAAAACCACACTTTTCCCCTTTAAAAAGGGACACCTGCCCCTGCCCCCAAAACCGCCCTCCTCGCTGCTGCTTTTTCCACCCAAGCTTCAAAATCCTATAAGATTTGGTTTTACTACTATACTTTCATACATTTTCCCCTTCTTTCCCCTCTATAGATAACTTTTTTTTGATCCACATATACCTCAACCACCCCTCCCCCTTTTTTTCCCCCCATCAATTCATGTTTTAAACCCCATCCCCAAAAAACCCATCCGCCGACAAAGTCAAATTTCCCAAGTATCTGAAAAAATTCACTTTTCCATACTCCTCCTCCCCAAATTTGATATCCCAAATTTTTTTTTATTCTTAAAAACATTTGATACCCCCCATTTACCTTAAATCTTTTCTATGTTCACTTTCAACTTTTACCTTTTTCACACCTTTCTCCCCAAAATTTATCCACTTTAAACCCTTTGGGAATTTTTCTTTAGAATTTTCCCCTAAGCACAGTATCATCAACAAAAAGTAAAAATGGGGTCATTCCCAAATTTTAATTTGAAAAACCCCCTAATTTAATTTCCCCCCCCTCCCCGACCCCCTAGCTTTTAAAATTTTTTTTACCAAACCCCCTCTATAAAAATATTAAACAAAACCCTTGTGACCCTTAACAAACCCCGTCTAAGGCCCCACCTTTTTCCGGGAAGTATTCTCCCCCCCTTTTACATACCCTAAAACCCGAGCCTCAATATCCTTAAAAAGCTCTTTTAAAAGCAATTTTTTAACTTACCCCCCCTATTCCATATAAATGCCAAAAATTGCCACATTTCCTCCATCCACTCTATCTATGCCTTTTTTTAAATCCCTAAATTTATAAAAAATTCCCTTTCCTTTATCTAAATTTCTGTTTCCCCTATATGTTTAATGTTTAAAAACTTGAAACTACACCCCCTACCCACTCTGAAGCCCCCCTTGCCATTTTCCCCCAATCCTTTTCATTCGTCTTAAACCCCTTTAAATTCCCTTTTAATTTTTTAACCCCCCGTTTTACTTTTCCTGGTTTTACCAGTAAAAAATTATTCCTCTATAATTTTTACCCAATTTTTTTGTCCCCTTTTCCCCTTTTTTTAAAAAAGGGAAATTTTTCATGCTCTCCGCCAATCCCCAGGTACCCCCTTTCCCCCCCCACATACATTTATTAAAAAAAAGTTTTTAACCACTCCAAAAACTATTCCCCCCTGCTTTTAACATTTTTGTCATGGGTCCCCCATTCCCCGTGCTTTTTCCCCCTTTCATTTCCCTAATGCCCCCACGTACCTCCACCACACTTCATTTGCCCCTTCTTTTACCCTAAAAGTTGGTTTTAAACCCCCCGGGGCCCGTGCATGGAAATTAAACCCCCCTCCCTTTCCTTTTCCTCAACATTTAAAAACCCCAAAATTTTTCTGCCATCTACCTAATACCCCCCTCTCCCCCTCTTTCTAACTCCCCCTACCCCTTTTTTTTAACTGACAAATCCATACCCTTTTCCCCCGGGTTTCTTAAACCCTTTTTTTAACTCCTCCCAAAAATTTTTTTTTATTTTTTTCATTAAATTTCTTTTACAGTGCCTCTCCCACCCCTTTCCCTCTTTCTTTCCCTTTTTCACTCCCCCTCACCATTTTCTTTAAAATTTTTTTTACTCTCCAATCTTGCCCCTTCTTATAACACTTCTGCTTTGTAAAAACCTTCGTAAGCTACCTTTTTTTCTTTTAATTTACACCCCTTTTCTTCCACATTCCACCAATCAATCCTCTTTCCTCCTGCCCCCCCCCCTTTTATAACCACAAACTTCTGCCCCACATTCTAATACCGCATTTTTTAAAAATATTCCAACCCTTTTCAACCTCCCCAATTTTCTCATCTTTTTCACTAGCCCACCTTTTTTTTGCCAATGTCGTTTTATCTCGCACGAACTTCCTCCTCCCTTAAAATTTATACACTTTCACCTCCCTCTTAATTGTTTTTGCCCCCTTTTTTCTTTTCCCATCTACCTTTAATTTTAACTGTAGTTAATAACTAAATAATGAACCATATATAAATTTTCCCCCTCTTTAAAAATGAAAATCTGGGGGTTTCCCTCAACCTTTTACCCACCAATACTAATCAACAAATACTTTCATTTTCGTGCTTTCCCTTCCCTACCTTTTATATTTAAATTTTTCTTTTTTTTTCATAAATAAAGTAAACTTAAATTCCAAAATTTTTTCGACCATAGCTCAATTAAAGGGCCCCCCTTTACATTTACCCCTGGCACCCCAAAAATTTAAAAACCCACTACTCCTCCCTTAACTTTTTTTCCCACTTTTGCATTGGGAAAACCCCAAACCCCCATTACTCTCACACTTGATTCACTCCCCCCCACCATTTTACTCAACATTTCCAGAATCTCTCTTCTCCCCCTACATTCTATCTTCTCCAGGGCATTCACGCTTATATAAACCCCCTTTTCACATCCAATTTTTTGTTTTACTCCACATAATCCTTGAATTTATACATTTGTAGTCCCTCTTTTCCTGCCATACCTTATCCTTCAACATTATTGCTACTCCTTCTTTAGCTCTAAATCTATTTGAAACCCCTGACCTAATCCCATTTATTCCTCTCCATTGAAACTCTTCCACCCCCTTCAGCTTTGTTTCACTTAAAGCCAGGACATCCAGTTTCTTCTCATTCATAACATCCACAATCATATATATATATATATATATATATATATATATATATATATATATATATATATATATATATATATATATATATTTATATATATATATATATATATATATATATATATATATATTTATTTATATATATTATATATATATTTTATATAATTTATTATATATATATATATATATATATATATATTATATATATATATAATAATATAATATATATATATTACTGATCTGCTAATTTTCATTGACACCGATAGAAAGAAGTCACTTTATTTGACTTCAATGGATTATCGTAGATAATTTACACATGTGTTATATATGCAGAACAACCACTGTGAAAAAATAGTGAAATTCCAAGCGCTTTCGTGACTTCTCACGTTATCAAGGAAGTATATGTGTTATATATGTAAGACAATCGTAAATTATCTCAACTTACGCCATGTAGGTTAGAACCTTCTTGACTCACTGCTTCTGCTTGATGGTGACCTGTTTTTCCCAGCAGATCTGGAGGAGGAGGAACCTGACGTGGACCAGGAGGAGTCTGATCCCAACGCAGGACGCTTCGTCAGGTACCAGTTCACACCGCAGTTCCTCAAACTTAAGACGGTGGGAGCGACGTAAGTACTGCCCAAGATATCTGCTGCTGCTGCTGCTGCTGGAGGGCTCTTGATCCTAGGAACTGGAGCTACAACCCCTCCTCCCGCTCTTGGATCAAATCTTATTACCTACGAATTCAGCGTTTCCGGAATAATAATAATAATAATAATAATAATATATTATCAATAATAATAATAATAATAATAATGTCAATAATAATAATATCAATAATAATAATAATAATAATATCAATAATAATAATAATAATAATAATAATAATATCATTAATAATAATATCAATAATAATAATAATAATAATAATAATAATAATAATATCAATAATAATAATAATAATAATAATAATATCAATAGTAATAATAATAATAATAATAATAATAATAATAATATCAATAGTAATAACAACAATAATAATAATATCAATAATAATAATATCAATAATAATAATAATAATAATAATAATATCAATAATAATAATAATATCAATAATTAATATCAATAATAATAATAATAATATCAATAATAATAATAATAATATCAATAATAATAATAATATCAATAATAATAATAATAATAAAATAATAATAATATCAATAATAATAATAATAATAATATCAATAATAATAATAATAATAATAATATCAATAATAATAATATCAATAATAATAATAACAATAATAATAATAATATCAATAATAATAATATCAATAATAATAATAATAATAATAATAATAATAAAAATAATAATATCAATAATAATAATAATAATAATAATAATAATAATATCAATAATAATAATAATAGTTAATTTTCAAGTTTGTTAGAGCCTTCAAAGTCAAAATTCGTCATTATATTCTGCAAACTTCTGCATACTAAGTAAATTATTATTATTATTATTATTATTATTATTATTATTATGTCAGTGAGGAGCACAAAACCTTTAGGGGTGATGCAGCACCTCGAGATTTTTAAGTCAGTAAGATTCGACCCAAGAAAAGGGAAGATGTGTTCAGTTCCCTGGATCAAGAGCCTTTCACCGACATCAAGGCGATTATTTATTTTATTTAAGAAAATTTAATTATAATTTTTGCATTCATGAGGGGAGCGCCAAACCCGCAGGGGGTCATACAGCGCCTGGGGGAATGGATTGTATCCAGGCTTGATTCAAGGAATTGGAGCACAGATCCAGTCCCTTGGATCAAAAGCCCCTCACCAGCGACAAGGAATCTCCTTTGTGGGTAAGCGAAATTGAATATATTAGCAATGTGCTGCCTCACTATGATAGTTACACGACAGAGGAACAAAAGCTGGTGGCTGTGTTGTGGTTGTGTTGTGGTTGTGTTGTGGCTGTGTTGTTGTTGTGGCGAGAGTAATGCAAGAAGTGAATATGTGGCGAAGGATGTTGTGGTTGTGGCGAGAGTAATACAAGAAGTGAATATGTGGCGAAGGATGTTGTGGTTGTGGCGAGAGTAATACAAGAAGTGAATATGTGGCGAAGGATGTTGTGGCTGTGGCGAGAGTAATGCAAGAAGTGAATATGTGGCGAAGGATTGCTGTGGCTGTGGCGAGAGTAATGCAAGAAGGAATATGTGGCGAAGGATGTTTGGGCTGTGGCGAGAGTAATGCAAAAGTGGATATGTTGCGAAGGTGTTGTGGCTGTGGCGAGAGAATGCAAGAAGTGAATATGTGGCGAGGAAAGTTGTTTGGCTGTGGCGAGAGATAATGCAAGAAGTGAATATGTGGCGAAGGATGTTGTGGTTGTGGCGAGAGTAATACAAGAAGTGAATATGTGGCGAAGGATGTTGTGGTTGTGGCGAGAGTAATACAAGAAGTGAATATGTGGCGAAGGATGTTGTGGCTGTGGCGAGAGTAATGCAAGAAGTGAATATGTGGCGAAGGATGCTGTGGCTGTGGCGAGAGTAATGCAAGAAGTGAATATGTGGCGAAGGATGTTGTGGCTGTGGCGAGAGTAATGCAAGAAGTGAATATGTGGCGAAGGATGTTGTGGCTGTGGCGAGAGTAATGCAAGAAGTGAATATTTGGCGAAGGATGTTGTGGCTGTGGCGAGAGTAATGCAAGAAGTTTAATAAGTGGCGAAGGATGTTGTGGCTGTGGCGAGAGTAATGCAAGAAAGGAATATGTGGCGAAGGAAGTTGTGGCGTGGCGAGAGTAATGCAAGAAGTGAATATGTGGCGAAGGATTTGTGGCTGTGGCGAGAGAATGCAAGAAGTGAAAATGTGGCGAAGGATGTCGTGGCTGTGGCGAGGTAATGCAAGAAGAATATGTGGCGAAGGAATGTTGTGGCTGTGGCGAGAGTAATGCAAGAAGTGAATATGTGGCGAAGGATGTTGTGGCTGTGGCGAGAGTAATGCAAGAAGTGAATATGTGGCGAAGGATGTTGTGGCTGTGGCGAGAGTAATGCAAGAAGTGAATATGTGGCGAAGGATGTTGTGGCTGTGGCGAGAGTAATGCAAGAAGTGAATATGTGGCGAAGGATGTTGTGGCTGTGGCGAGGTAATGCAAGAAGTGAATAATGTGGCGAGGATGTGGCTGTGGCGAAGTAATGCAAGAAGTGAATATGTGGCGAAGGATGTTGTGGCTGTGGCGAGAGTAATGCCCAAAAAGTGAAATGTGGCGAAGGATGTTGTGGCTGTGGCGAGAGTAATGCAAAAAGTGAATATGTGGCGAAGGATGTTGTGGCTGTGGCGAGAGTAATGCAAGAAGTTAATATGTGGCGAAGGATGTTGTGGCTGTGGGGAGGTAATGCAAAAGTGAATATGTGGCGAAGGATGTTGTGGTGTGGCGAGAGTTTAAAGCAAGAAGTGAATATGTGGCGAAGGATGTTGTGGCTGTGGCGAGAGTTTAAAGCAAAAAGTGAATATGTGGCGAAGGATTTGTTGCTGCTGGCGAGAGTAATGCAAGAAGTGAAATGTGGCGAAGGATGTTGTGGTTGTGGCGAGAGTAATGCAAGAAGTGAATATGTGGCGAAGGATGTTGTGGTTGTGGCGAGAAATAATGCAAGAAGTGAATATGTGGCGAAGGATGTTGTGGCTGTGGCGAGAGTAATGCAAGAAGTGAATATGTGGCGAAGGATGTTGTGGTTGTGGCGAGAGTAATGCAAGAAGTGAATAAAGTGGCGAAGGAAGTTGTGGCTGTGGCGAGAGTAATGCAAAAAGTGAATATGTGGCGAACGATGTTGTGGCTGTGGCGAGAGTAATGCAAGAAGTGAATGTGGCGAAGGATGTTGTTTGGGTGTGGCGGAAATAATGCAAAAAGTGAATATGTGGCGAAGATGTTGTGGCTGTGGCGAGAGTAATGCAAGGGAAATGAAATGTGGCGAAGGATGTTGTGGTTGTGGCGAAGTAATACAAAAAAGTGAATATGTGGCGAAGGATGTTGTGGTTGTGGCGAGAGTAATGCAAGAAGTGATATGTGGCGAAGGATGTTGTGGCCCGTGGCGAGAGTTAAACAAGAAGTGAATATGTGGCGAAGGATGTTGTGGCTGTGGTGAGAGTAGTGCAAGAAGTGATAGTGGCGAAGGATGTTTGGTTGTGGCGAGGTAAAACAAAGCGAATATGTGGCGAAGGATGTTGTGGCTGTGGTGAGAGTAGTGCAAGAAGTGAATATGTGGCGAAGGATGTTGTGGTTGTGGCGAGAGTAATACAAGAAGTGAATATGTGGCGAAGGATGTTGTGGTTGTGGCGAGAGTAATGCAAGAAGTGAATATGTGGCGAAGGATGTTGTGGCTGTGGCGAGAGTAAAAGCAAGAAGGAATATGTGGCGAAGGATGTTGTGGTTGTGGCGAGAGTAATACAAGAAGTGAATATGTGGCGAAGGATGTTGTGGTTGTGGCGAGAGTAATACAAGAAGTGAATATGTGGCGAAGGATGTTGTGGTTGTGGCGAGAGTAATGCAAGAAGTGAATATGTGGCGAAGGATGTTGTGGTTGTGGCGAGAGTAATACAAGAAGTGAATATGTGGCGAAGGATGTTGTGGTTGTGGCGAGAGTAATGCAAGAAGTGAATATGTGGCGAAGGATGTTGTGGTTTTGGCGAGAGTAATGCAAAAAGTGAATATGTGGCGAAGGATTTTTTTGGTTTTGGCGAGAGTAATGCAAGAAGTGAATATGTGGCGAAGGATGTTGTGGGTGTGGCGAGAGTAATGCAAGAAGTGAATATGTGGCGAAGGATGTTGTGGTTGTGGCGAGAGTAATGCAAGAAGTGAATATGTGGCGAAGGATGTTGTGGTTGTGGGGGAGAGCAATACAAGAAGTGAAAAATGTGGCGAAGGATGTTGTGGTTGTGGCGAGAGTAATACAAGAAGTGAATATGTGCGAAGGATGTTGTGGTTGGCGAGAGTAATGCAAGAAGGAAATAGTGGCGAAGGATTTTTGTGGTTGTGGCGAGAGTAAATACAAGAAGTGAATATGTGGCGAAGGATGTTGTGGTTGTGCGAGAGTAATGCAAAGTGAATATGTGGCGAAGGTGTTGTGGCTGTGGCGAGAGTAATGCAAGAAGTGAATATGGGCGAAGGATGTTGTGGTTGTGGCTAGAGTAATCAAGAAGTGAATATGTGGCGAAGGATGTTGTGGTTTGTGGCGAGAGTAATACAAGAAAATGAATATGTGGCGAAGGATGTTGTGGTTGTGGCGAGAGTAATACAAGAAGTGAATATGTGGCGAAGGATGTTGTGGTTGTGGTGAGAGTAATGCAAGAAGTGAATATGGCGAAGGATGTTGTGGTTGTGACGAGAGTAATGCAAGAAGTGAATATGTGGCGAAGGATGTTGTGGCTGTGGCGAGAGTAATGCAAGAAGTGAATATGGCGAAGGATGTTGTGGTTGTGGCGAGAGTAATGCAAGAAGTGAATATGGCGACATCATTGTTGATAGGAAGAGGAGGAGGAGGGAAGGGGTAGGGGGAGGAGGAGGAGGAGGAGGAGGAGGAGAGGGGAAGGACAAATTCGTATGGAAATTGCCATACGAGGAAATGGATATGGAATCAATAT